TCCTCCGCTCGTGCTAAGATGTCAATCACCTCCCCCTCCCCACCCTTCATCCAGCGGGGGGGCGTTGAGGGTGCAGGGGTGCCCCCCCTTTCGTGCTCACCTCCCTGTTGTCTCTCCTCACTCTCAATCTTCATGGTGATTTTCCTACTACCCCCCCACCATCTTTCAACACCAATCCTTTGGTGTGTTCTTTCGTCTGCGCACATGCGGATGCAGGTCGCCTCCCCCTCTCTGCTTCTCCTCCAGCGGGGGGTTGTTGGGGGCGCGGGGGTATTTTCTCTTCCATGTTCACTCTCCTGAATTTCACCCTCCCCACTTTCAATCATCATGGTGGGTCTATTCCCCCCCCACCATCGCTCACGTTCTCTCCTCCCCTCTCCCTTCCTGGCCTCAGCTATCCAGTCCAACCTTTCCTTCACACGCACGCGGGTGCAGGTTGTCTCACCCTCTCTACCTTTCCTCCAGCGGGGGGGCGTTGGGAGCGCGAAGCGCGCCGCGGTGTTTGCCGTACTCTGCGGCCCCCCTGACACCTCTGGTACGGGGGGAGCACTCGCCTTCTCATATCCACATCCCGTCCTACCAGTTCCTTTCTGCCAGTCCTCTGATATGGGGAGGGTGGTTTTCTCTTTTCTTTCCTCTTCGTACCTACGATCCCACCACTCAACCTTCCTGGCCCCATCCTCAACTCTCATACCGGAGTCCCCCCTCTCTTCTTTCTCCTCCCTTACACTCTCACACCTAACCTTCCTCCTCACACCCAGGGAGCCCTTTCTCCTTCCAACCCCCTCCCCCGATCCATCATCCATCGGAGCGCGCCTTGCTCCCACCAAGGGGCTGGTGCACGCAGAGCTCTGATGGTAGCAGGTTGCTGTCATGGGATGTGTCTCAGTCACCATGTCCGCAGGCGTACTCCTTCTACCTCCTCCTTCCGATGGTGTCCTCTCCATTGGGGGAGCACATTCGTCCTTGCGTTCACACTCGGCATCCTGTTGCGCTCTCTGGGAGCGCGTGAATGGTCTGGAGCTGTATGTCGTGATCTTCTTCCTTTTTCGTGGCCCTCCATGTCCCTGATGTGGGGGTGTCCCTCGGGGGTGATCGATCATGTTGGTTGCCAGGTCGCAGGGTCCGGTGTTAGTTGCAAGGTCGCAGGGTCTGGTGTTAACGGTATCCAGATCTTTCAATACGTTGACCCTTTGTTTAAGAGGTCTGGTGGGGAGAAGGGGTGCTTCATCTGGCGGCCAGTTATCCCTCATTCGGGCGCACTTGGGGCTTGTGATTTTCGCCGTCCTACCTGTCGAGGTGCGTCCCGAAGCGTTAGATGGTTTCCTTCTGGGAGGGTTTCTCCATCGACCAGGTCCGTAGGGCGGCGTGCGCCGGGCACAGGTCAATATGGCGGTTGATGGACCCCTCGTCGGAGAGCCAGGCTTCCTTCAAGAGCCGGCCCCCTTTCGTACTGTCCATAGCAACCACCTGCGTGTTATTGAAGTCAAACCCGTGCCCTGACTCTTCCATGTGCGCCACGATTTGGGAGTATTGTTCTCCTCTCTTGACCGCCAGCCGGTGTTCATGCACCCTGGTCCGTACATTTAATAATTGCAATGATTTGGCTACATAATGCGCCTTATCCAGCACCACTGTGGCTCTCCCTTTATCAGCGGGGAGTATCACAATGGTACTGTCCCTTTTAAGTTGTCCCAGGGCCTCTATCTCATTTCTGGTTAATGCCCGATAGTGCCTATGGTGCATGAGTAGCCCAGTGACTTGTTGCCTAACCAGATTAACCGAGTCCTCCCCCATACCCCCGTGGTGCATGGCGGGCTCCAACGCAGCGATAAAATCCAAAAAGTTAGCATCGCTAAGATTATGTCCTATATGTCCTACATCGCGTTGCAGCAGGGCGAGTTGGGGGTGAGTAAGGTTCTTTGAAGATAAATTATGGACCAGATTACCCATTCCCTCATTACCTTTCTGCACCATAGGCACTATCGGGCATTAACCAGAAATGAGATAGAGGCCCTGGGACAACTTAAAAGGGACAGTACCATTGTGATACCCCCCGCTGATAAAGGGAGAGCCACAGTGGTGCTGGATAAGGCGCATTATGTAGCCAAAGCATTGCAATTATTAAATGACAGAACAGCCTACAGAATCATTAAAAAAGATCCTATGGTGACCCTAAAGAACAAAATCAACAAACTACTTGATAGCTTTAAAAGAGCAAAAAAACTCGATGATGACACCCTGAGAAGAATACGGCCCAATGACGTGGCACTTCCGAGGTTTTATGGGCTGCCAAAGATCCATAAGGAGGGTGTCCCACTTCGCCCCATTGTCTCATTTAGAGGCACCCCCATTTCGGGACTGGCGAAGTGGCTTAGTGATCGCATCGCCTATTTGGTGAATGGCAGCCCTACCACGGTCAGCTTGGCAGAAGAATTCTTAGAGAAGATCAGGACCCTTAGGGTGGAAGAGGATGAGGTGATGGTCTCTTTTGACGTCACCTCACTCTTTACTTCCATCCCTCAAGACCTAGCAGTTAAAGTTCTGAAAGATCAGCTAGAAAGACAAGGAAGGGCTGACCACCGGGATTCCCTGCAAACCAAAGATCTAGTACAACTCTTAGAGTTGTGCCTGGCAACGTATTTCACTTTCCAGGGTGTCATATACGAGCAAGTAAAGGGCACACCTATGGGCTCCCCAATATCCAGCGTGGTAGCAGAGGCGGTTCTCCAACAACTGGAACAGGAGGCCATGACCCTCTACCAGCCCAAATTTTGGGCACGGTATGTTGATGACACCTTTGTGGTCATTAAACAGTGCCACCGGACTGGCTTTATGGGGGTGTTGAATTCAATATATCCGGACATCAAATTTACGGTGGAGGAGATCCAAGGCTCGATAGCCTTTCTGGATGTTTTACTCCAGCGCTCAATGGATGGAGCTTTGAACACCAAGGTCTATCGTAAGCCAACACATACGGATCGTATCCTCCACTACCATAGTAACCATCCGGCCCCCCATAAGGCCAGCTGCATCAGGACCCTGTTCAAACGGGTGTACTCGCATTGCAACACAGCTGAGTCAAGGTGTTCTATCCCAGCCTATTGCCGTTCTTGTTAGAGGCACAAGGACCAAACCCCTGCTGATACAATAGGCTGGAGACTTTAAAACAAAACAAAATCCCTTTTATTTGGGTGACAAACCTGTCAATAAGTCCAAAACACAAACAGCAAAACTCAAGTCCAAAGGAAGGAAATAGTCCACAGGAACACGTTGCAAACAAGACGAACAGACCAGGATTCCAAGAAGCACTTTGCAAACGGTTGCCTTCAGCAACCAGCAACGCCCACACCTCCCCTTTTTATACAGCAGTCCCAGGGCGTTGCCTCTCATTGCCTTCTCCTTTTACTTTGGAGTAGTCGCATAGACTGTTGTTGTTTTTTTCTCGCTACTTGACGTCTGCGAGCATCAATTAGCACATCCAGGTGTGAGCCTTCTGAATCTGACTCATGCTCCTCACACAGCTGAGCTTCATCAGAAACACGACTGGAGGGGCCAGGCTCTTCATCAAGCCGTGAGTCCTGTAATTCATCAGAGCCTCCCTCTGACCCTGACGGCCTCTCAACGGCCTCCTCCACCTCATCCTCAGATTCCTCAGACACAGCTGTTGGGAACACAGGCTGGCACGGAATCACAACACAAGGGCAGAAGAAAAGAAACATCTGTTTCGTGTGTGCCGGATGAATGGATACCCCCCCCCCGATTCATCAAATGGCACAGCATGATACCAGAACCCCGAAATAGACAGCAGGATGAAGAACCCCCGGTACGGGCTACATGGGTGTCCCTACCATATATCAGCAATGTGTCTGAGGCCACGGCCAGGTTGCTGGCACCATACAATATAAAAGTGGCCCATAGGCCCAATCAGACTCTGCGGACAAAAGTGATGCGTTCTAAGGACCAACTCCCCACCACCGAGAGATCAACGATGGTCTATAAGATTAATTGCATGGACTGCCGGAGCAATTATGTAGGCGAGACATCGAAGAGACTAAAAACACGCCTACACGAACATCAACTAGCAATCAGACGAGGTGAACAACACTCGCAGATTTGGGCTCACATGGCCGAGTATAACCATCGTTTTGATTTTGGGAATACCCAGGTCTTGACCTGTGATACCACGAAGGGAGGCCGCTTGCTGAAGGAAGCGTGGTACTCAGGAGTTGATTCCATCAACCGGCACGTGGACTTATGTCCGGCACACCAAGCTCTAAGAACATGGAGCACGGGTAACCGTACTAATGCCCAAAGGGAGCTTCACCATGAGCTAAATAATCGGAACAGGGACGTGACTCGGACTTTTCCTCCCCCTCCTCCCCTGATCCACTGTACTAGTGAATCTTTGGATAACACTCCCCACGTGCCAGGAAGACAACCGCAGCTGATCCAGCAGCAGATTGATTCCAACATACAGCTCCCGCAGGACCCTCCACGACCCATTGAAAGCGAGCCCTCCTCGGAATGGAAAGGTGGGGTACGGAGTAACAGACTAGGACCAGAGAGATCGAGGAGTAGATGGGATGTGATGGAGTCGGAAGAACATGATGAAGGTGAGCCACCCCCTTCCCCCAGGGGGATCGTCAGGCATGCGATGGTGACTCGGCCACGGTTGAATGAAAGAAGACACTCCTCTCCGGTGCATTTGGCATGGGGTCAGGCCATCAAACAACAGTTACGATCAAGGCAGAGGAGCCCTGAGAAGGATGACGACCAGGAGTTGAGTGTAAAGGAAGGCGATGCCCGACAGCAACGGACCGAACAATGGAGTGCTCCCAATGGGATGGCAGCGAGGAGCGCTTTGAGTACATGTGGGAGGAGGGTGATTGGAATGGACAGCAGATGCCTTGGGGTGGTGCACGGGAGGGAAGAAGAGGAAAAAGTGCAGAGCGATGAAAGGGTTACACATGGAGGAGGAGTGAAGACCGGTATCCTGAATCCACTTAGTGCTGAAGCTGCCGATCAAGTGAGGTGTGAGAGAATGCAAGCTAGTAACAAAGGAATGTATGTTAAAGGAGGTAAGCTTGAATTATACTCCAAACAGCTGGGGCCAACGACGCACTCCAAGAGCCGGAAGCAGACGCTTGATAACAGGACGT